GCGTGTGCAAGCACAACCTCCCGGCTAGGAGCTCAGGTCACCCATGGACCCAGAGGAGGGCGGGCAAGCGGGCGAGGCTGGCGGGGGTCGGGGGTGCACCGTGCAGATCTGAGGCCAGTGGCTTGGAGGGGCCCGTGGGGGGGGTGCGCTCCCCGCGCCTCCCCGCCCCCCCCCGCAGGAACAGCTTCGGGATGCATCCTCTGCTGCCCTTCCAGGCCCAGCCGCTAAGCCACACTCCCAGCTTCAACGGGGAGGGGCCGGAAAGGCCCGCCGCGCTCGCCAAAGCGCCAGGAGCCCGGGCGAGCACGCCGCTGGCCGGCCCGGGGCCCGAGTTCCCAGAGCGCCCCGAGATGGCTCGCCGGGACAGCGCCCCCGCCGAGAGCCGGCCGGCCAAGAGCGATGTGCCCATCCAGCTGCTGAGCGCCACCAACCAGATCCAGAGGCAGGCAGCTGTGCAGCAGCAGATCCCCACCAAGCTGGCCGCCTCCACCAAGGGCGCCAAGGACAAGGGCAGCAAGAGCAGGGGCTCCCAGCGCTGGGACAGCTCAGGTGAGCCCCAGGGACGGGCCGGAGCTGGGGCGGGCGCGCCGAGCGCTGGCGGGCGCCTGCCCGGTCCCTACGGCCCTGGACTTGCAGGTCCAGTCGTGGGCTCTTTGTGAGACCAAAGCGGCTTCTTGTGGACAAACCAAAATGGGACCCCAGGGCCATCCTCTGGAGGGCACACCTGGCGACACCTGGCTACGTTCCAGAGGCCCGTCCCCGCCCCACATGGAGGTCTCATCCCAAGAAGGAAAATTAAAACATCAGACCCCGTGTCTTTTTCCCACCTCGGCCCTCAAACAGGGACCGGGGCCGACAGAACATCTCGGCAGTTCAGAAAGAGGAGCCTGGGTCCCTTGGGGACATCAAGGCAATGGGTGCTAATGCTCCCCACTGAGCCCCCACCCAGGGACGATTCTCGTGCCCAGGTCTCTACCGTGTCCTCATCCCACAGAGGGGACACTGAGGCCCTTGCATAGCGCACCCTGCAGTGAGAGGTCTTTCCTCCAGTAGAGGAAGCCCAGGGACTCCCGCGGGTGCTGCCAGCGTGCAGGCTCTGGCCAAGGGGAGCCAGCCCTGGAATGTTCCCTGAGGAACAGGGCCTGTGTGCCAGGACTGCTGGGCTCCGGGGTCAGGGGGTCGCTCTCTCGTCCAGAGGCTGAGTTACTCCAAGGGCCCTCGAGTCGGGTGTCACTGTCTCTGGGGCTGAATGTCTGGTGGGTGTGTCCCCGGCCCAAACGGGGGGCTGCTCATGTGCCCCGAGCGAGGCCAGACAGCCCAGGCTGTGCCCTCCCTCCCTCAGCCTCCTTCGACCTGAAGCAGCAGCTGCTCCTCAGCAAGCTCGTGGGCAAGGACGAGAACAGCGCCCGGAACCGCCACTCGCTGAGCCCCGTCCTGCTCAGCAGCCACAGCTCCGTGTCCCCCACGGGTGAGCCCGCCCCCCCCCCTGCCTGGCGGCTGCTGACAACCAGCACTCTCCCTCTCTTCCAGACCCCTGCTGCCCGGCCCCGGCTGACGTCCCCCCCGAGTGCTTCTCCCTCAAGCCCGGGGGCGCCCCCGTGCCCCCCTCCCCCTTGCCACTGCCCACCACACCGGGCGGCAAGGAAGACAGCAGCAAGGAAGACGTCATCTTCTTCTAGAGGGGGTGTGGCTCGAGGTGCAGACCCCTCCCCGTCCTGCTCTCCGGGGAACAGCCCAGTCCCTCTCCTCTCCCCGAGCAAAGCACCACCAATGGCTGCTGGCTGGGGCCGGGGTCGGGGTCAGGGTCAGGGTCAGGGCCAGGGCTGGCCGGTCGCCTTGAGCCTCTTCCTGTAGGATTAGCAGTGGTGCCTGGGTAACTTTCTAAACCTTTTTTTTTTTTTTTAACACAAAAAGGAAAGTTTTTAATCGAAGGTTGAACCAGAGCTAACCCAAGAGACTGTGTGCAGTCGTAGCACCCGCTGGGGAGGGAGAGCGAGCGACTCCACGCCACTTTTCCAAGGTAGTGACAGACAGTGGTGGCTCCGCAAGATGCCTGAGGACAGGCCGGACCCCAGGCTGAGGAGCAGGGGCTGGCCCTGGGGCTGGGTGGCGTCCGCAGGATCCGCTTCCGAAGCAGAGACCTACCTGTGTTCATGGTGAACTTCAAGGCCAGGGCGTGAGTGCAGATTGGGGGGGGGGGGGGGACACAGCCCAGCCGGGGACAGAAGGCCACAGGGCAGGGCGTATGAAGAGGACAGCCAGTGGCACAGGTGACAGGTTCTGTAGGTTCTGAAAGGGACGGACCATAACTCACTTTAATTTGACAGAGGTTTTTAAAACCTGCTGTTGCCAAACTTGGTGCTTTCCAAAGGCACCTCAGCGTGGTGGCTTCTGTGGGGTTCGAGGGCCCCAGCCGTTCTCCGAGCGCTCAGCCTGTCCGGAGAAGCCCAATCGACAGCGTTAGCCAGGGCAGCTCGCCCGAGGGTCCCAGCCCCCATGAGATGGGCGGGATTTCCTGCGGCTGCAGGGAGGAAGGCCCCAGGGCAGGTGTCCCTCACCCTCAGGCAGGTGCTGGTACAAGGAATGGAGCGGTGGGGCCGCCACGTCCTCGTGGACGAGGACGAAATGCTAGAGGGGTCACCTAGGGCCTGGAGACCTCAGATGGGCAGGGGGCTCCAGGTGCCTCGTGTCCAGTGAGCTGAGCTAGCCTGTTGTCAGCTCCCCTGGAGGACAAGGGCCACCCATCCCGCTGCACAGCTCTAGATGCTGGGGACCACGCTGGATGTCCAGGAGCGCTCTGGGGCTGGCCAGTGGGTCAGATGCACACTTCAGCTGTGGAGGAACTCAAGCCTGGGTGCAGGGTGGGGGAATGGGGATACTCCGGCCTTTGGTCCCCGGGCTCCCCCACTGAGCCCAGAGCCCCGTCCCTCCCAAAGTGCTCGTGGGAGGACTGGGGCCCCAGCTGACCAGTTCCGAACCTCTCCCAGGCACAGTGAGTGGTGTGCCGAGCCCGGCCCCTCTGAGAACCTCTGCCTGCTCCTTTCTCTCCCCCGGCCTCCACTTCGTGCTTGGGGCCTGCAGCATCCGTGCATCCTTGGGGAGCCAGGAGAAGCGTCCTCCCTCGGTCCTGCGACGCGTCCGAGCTCCTCTGTGCCATGTCTGTGATCAGTGTTTGCGTTTTCGTACTGAGACATCTCCGAGCACTTTAGCAAAGTTGACTTTAAGTTGCTGTCCTGTTGTGAAGCGAACATCTCTGGGCCCTCATGCTGGGTGATTCCACCGCCACACACCCCTGTCCACCGGCTCTGGTCTGACCCTCCGAGACGCCCTGATTCCTCAGCCGGTGACAAGTCCAAGGAACCGCCGCTCGGCCATGTGGCAGGGAACTGGGGTGTCCCACCACGGGGCCACACAGCGGGGCAGTGTCATCGTGGGTCCATCTCTCGTCCGGGCAAGGTCACTCCCGGAGAGCCCGATTTTATTTGTACGGTTGGTGGTTGAGCAGATCCTCTTATTTCCGTGGAACCTGTGCACGTCTTCGTTAATTGTGACCATAATCTTAGTCCAGCCGACAATTATTTTTACGATGATTGCAACATTTCCTCACCGTGGGGTCTTTTAGAACCACCTTAAAACTTAAGACCTGATTCCAGCAATAAAAGTATCGAAGATGAGCCGACAGGAGTGTTCGTTTGGGGGGTTGGGGTTTTGTTTTAGGATCCTCGGCCCAAACGTCAGTGCTCTAAGGGTGGCTCATGTCACCGGGCGGGGCGCCCCTCCCACCCGTGCCCAGGGCCCCACACACTCCCCTCAGGAAGCTCCGGACGATGACCGCATGCAGACATTCGGAGTCCGAGGCGCTGGGGATGCCTGGGGGCCCCTGGGAGAAGCAGCCCTCCAGACGAGGCTGAGGTGTGGGGATGCGGCCAAGTCCTCTCCGCTCTGGCGGGGTGCCCTTCCGCTTAGGCCTGTCCCTGTGCTCTTGGGATGCCAGCCTCCTAGGCAAGGAGCCACTGCCCCGAGTAGGGCCATCCCCAAGGCCCATCTGCCTCCCTGCTCCCCAAAGGAGCTGAGTTTGCTACGGCAGGTGCTCCCTGGGTGCTGGGAGAACGCTTTCAGGCCCCGCTCCCAGGAACTGACTGGCTCTGCCCCCACCTAAGAGGCTGAAGTTGCCAGGCGGGGAAGGGCACCGGGCAGGGGGTGTGGCCACGCTACAGGCGGGGCTTCTCGTCCGCCCACCGGTGTGTCCCAGCACAGCCCCAGCCCTGGCATCTGGCTCCACCCAGGCCCACGGGGACACCAGCCTGCCGTGACGGGACAGGTTACGTATGTGGGTGTTCCTGTGGCTTCCCCACAAGCACAGTGCTCTGAATGCCTTACAGGTATTAACTCCCCGAGTGTCCAGGCAGGTAAGCAGGTAGTGCTGTGACCCCCACCCCAGCCCCCCTGGTGCCCTGAGTGCTGGGAAGGGGGCCTCTGCTAAGGGCCAAGGGGAGCACGTCCCCCCTTTGCGAGAGGGGAGGGGGAGGCTGACCCAGCCTGGCCCCCTCCCCTCGTCCAGAGGGATGGGTGGGGCAGGGTGCTCCAGCCAGGGCCAGGTGGGGGGTCTTCTGCACCCCGTGTTAACCCTGAGGGGCCCCGCATCCCAGCTTTTCCCACGACATAGCTTCCCTGTGGGACAAGAGGCGGGGGGGTGTCACATGAAGCCTCGGGGGCTGCAAACTGCCGTTTTTGTTGGCTCTTTCCGGTGCTTGCGGGACGTAAGGGACAGCCTGATGCCCTCCACTTTCTGGCTAGGACCCAGAGGTGGGGGATCCGAGGCCACGTCACGACGGGCAGACGTGGGCTGGCCACCATCTGCAGGCACCTCTCACGGGGCAGCCTGAGACATCCCATCCCGCCATGATCCCCATGACGTGGGAGACGAGCGCAGCCTGGAGCCCGTAAGACACTCAGACCAGCCCCAGGCCCAAGCTGTGGCGGAGCGTGAAAGGCTTCGGCCACAGTAAGCACCCTGGAGCTGCCCGGGGGGACAAGACACAGACGTGGCCCCTGTGCCCGAGACGGAGGCGCGGAGAGCTGCTCGCCTTGGCTGAAGGCTGCTCAGGGCCAGCACGTTCCAGAAGGCGGGCTGGGGAGGTGTGGTTCCCAGGCAGCACCTGCACCCCCCCTCAAAATGCACGGGGCCGCCGGGAAGGAACAGGGCGTGTGACCGGGAGGCCTGCAGGTGGGAGGGGCTGGGGGCCAGTGATTTAGAAATAAGCTCTCACACTGGGCCCGGCACCAACACCCTATTTAATCGATCACCATCTCGACTTTCCTGAGGCCCGCGTGGCGCACGCCGTCCTGGCTCCCCCGCTCGCCTTTACCGGAATGCAGCCTTCTCTGCACGTGAGGCCCGGCGACCCCTACTCTGGCCCTGAGAGGAGCCCCCCCACGGAGCCCCGGCCTAGTTGGAAAGGCCCTGGCCCTCGGCCCCCGGGGGGCCGCACCCCTGCCCACATCCTGGCCCACCGAGGGCCCGTGCCCGAGGCGGCCCCGGGCGTTCTCTGGATTACGCGTCCCTACACCTGGCATTGAGTCGCTCAATTACAGACCCAGCCCCCGCCCGAGTGATTTCTGCTTTGTGGGAAGGGGCGCTCCGGTGGGGTTCCGGCTGCACCCACACCTCCCCGGCCACGTCACGGGGTGGTGGCCTCGGCCCGGCCAGCCTGGTACACGCTGAGGAGGGAGGAGATGGTCCCGAGGAGGCCCACGAGCCACGGGGGGAAGCGGCCGGCCCACAGGACACCCGGGGGCAGCCAGTGCACGGCGTTGGCCAGATCGGCCACGTTGCTCAGGAGGGTCAGCACCTCCGACCGGACCTGGGCCTCCATGGCCCTCCTCTTGCTCCGGGGCAGCCGGCTGTGGGGGCAAAGAGAAGCCGCTGGGGAAGACCCAGGCACACCCAGGCTCACCCCAACGGGCAGGAAGAGGTGACAGCAGAGCGAGTGAGGAGAACTGGTGGGGCTGTGTCCCCGTCACACCCCCCTCCGAGGGAGCCCACAGCATGAACAGGGCACAGACGGGTGTGGGAAGTCTCAAACCCACACCTCAGTCCTCTGGGCCCTGGAGACAGGCAGGGAGCTGCGGGGGTGGGGGGGCGGTCGGGGCCTCAAGCCAGCCTCGGTTTCCCCATCTGAGCCAGCCCCTGGAGCTGCTGTAAGGCCCCCGCGCAGGCCCGCACAGGCGTGAGGCTGGAAACGTGGCAGCTCACAGCACCTCTCCGGCTAGGGAAACCCAGCAGCGTCCCCAGCTTGCGGGAGGAAGTCAGCCTTTCTCCCGGGCAAAGCCCTGGGGTCGTACCTGGTGAAGGCCACCGCGGGGCCCCTCAGCCTCCGCCTCAGCGTCAGGACCATCCTCAAGGACCTGCAGCAGGCAAGCGAAGCAGGGTGGGGGCGCAGGGGTTAGCTCCCCATCGCCAGCCCAAGGGGAGGCTGCCGCCCCCCACCCCCGACGGCCACAGGTAACTCCAGCGCCCTGCGCCCTCCCAGAGCACCAGACCAGCCTGGGCCTCGGAAGCTCCTGGGGACTCCTAATTCGGACCCTGACCTGCCTGCACTGTCCACACAAGATCTGGAAGCATCTAGTGCTTCTGATGCTGGAGCCAGGCATGTGTCCCTGGCCAGGTGACCTGTCCCCGGAGAGCATGGGGACACAAGTCAGCACCTGCAGTGAGGTAAGTGGGTCTGCATCAGACCACCTGGAAGACCGGGGCAACACGCCGATTCCTGCGCCCCGGGTTCCCACACTAGCAGAATCCAAACCTGTCGGCATCTGGGCATCTGCATTTCAGCAAACTCCCTGGTGACTCTCAGGTATCTTGGGGTCCTACGGACACCAGGTCGGGACCCTCACGCTTGCTCACACCAAATAGAGAGACACGATGGAAAAAGTATAAGCTCTAAACATGAACAGGCAGAGCACAGACGATTTGAGGACAATGCCACCACTCTGATGCTGTAACAGTGGGAATGACTCATTACACACCTGTCCAAGCCCCCAGGACGTGCAACACAGAGTGAATCCTGATGTAAACCACGGACTTGGGGTGCCCGTGACTTGTCGACGTGGATTCATCAACTGCTGGGGGAGTTTGATAATGGAGGGGCTGTGGGGCAGGTGGGGAATCTATGGAAACCCTCTTTACTTTTGGTTCAATTGTGCTGTGAAGCTAAAACTCTAAAAATAAAAGTCTATTTTAAAAAAGTAATGGGACCGGGGCGTCTAGCCGGCCTAGTCGGTAGAGCGTGCTTTCTGGGCAGGGAGCTCGGAACAAATGCGCTCAGCGCATTTACAGAGAGGGAAATGTTCGGAAGGAAACCATTATTTGAAAGTTCTAGAAACAGTATGGGTTTCAGAAGCACACAGCCAGTCAGGAAACTCCTGTTCTCTCTGGGGACATTTGCCGACGACCACGCACACACGCACAGACCCGGGGAAAGGCATCCCCCTCCAGCTACTTCGGTCCCTGGCCTGGAGTTCTTTCCGCTTCCTGGGGCCAGTGGGCACCATCATGCCCTCCAAAGATATCCACGTCCTCATCCCCAGGCCCTGTGAGCGTGCTCCCTTACGTGGCACAAAGGACTTTGCCGATGGGACTGAGGTAAGGGTCTTGAGATGGGGGAGGACGTGGGGTCCTCACGGGGCCCTCATGAGGGGGAGGCAGCAGGGTCGGAGTCGGAGATGTGCCCAGGGAAACGGGCTGTGCTCTGAAGACGGAGGGGAGGGACCACGGGCCAAGGACTGCAGTGGTCTCTAGAAGCCGGAACAGGCAGGAATGGCTTTTCCCCCCGCGAGCCCTGCCCCCACCTGGAGTTTTAGCGCAGTGAGTCCACACTGGACTTCAGACCTCCAGAGCCGTGAAACAGTCGGCGTGTGCCGTTTCAAGCCACTGGGTTTGGAGGAGTCTGGTAGAGCTGTGGGTCTAGGGAGGCGCCCCTTACGGCCTGTTGGCGGGCATTAAGGCTACGTACCTGGCAATGCCCAGGAGCAGGGAGAGGCCCCAGAAGGCTGTGCTCAATGTCCACCACCGGGCAGAGTCCACGCGGAGGATCTGGGCATCAGCAGCCCAGGCAATGTGCTCACAGGGGTAGTAGAGCTGGTCGGCCAGGTTGCCGAGGACCGACACGCAGCGGACAAAGATGTCGTCCTCCTGCAGGACCAGGAGAGAGGGAGAGAGGGGGGCGTGGGCCTGGAGTCAGACCTACCCAGGCCCATCTTAGGGACCCAGACCAAGCCAGATGGCAGTCACGGGGCAACGTCCAGGCCCAGCAGGCTGGCCCATGGCGGGCCACTGCAAAGGAAGAAAGGCCCGATTGCCACTTCTCAGCAGTGTGGCCATCATCCACCCCCACCCCCCACCCCATGGAGCAGAAGCTGTCAACTTAGCTGCACAGGGGATCCCCTGGAGAGCTTCAAAACCCCAACCCCAGCCCCAGCCCCAGGGATTCTACCTCACTAGGTCCGGTGTAGGCCCTGGCACCAGGAATATCTTTTAAGTTCCCGGATGATTCCCAAGTAGGACAACTCAGGATGCCCTGCATCAGGGCCTTCCCACCCTGCAGCATTCGGGTCCTGCGCACGGGTCTCCAGGCCAGGCTCCCTGGCACCGGGCTCTAGGAGAGCAGTGCGGGGGGAGCCCTGCAGAGCACCCCGACCTGACAGGGCAGGGTGGTACTGAACACGCTCAGTGCGGACAGTAAGTGGGCACCAGGCTGCAAGGCTTGGGTCACCACTCCAAACCAGAGGGGTCAGGAGGCCCGCAAACAGGCAAACTGAGGTACTTAGGGGAAGCTGCCACCTGCCCTCCTCACACAAGGACAGGCCTCGGGCCTTCGAATAGCAGAACTCAAGCCCTTGACCAAGTTCCACCAAGTTCCAAGCCACGGCCTGTATCCAGTGAGGCAGGGCCAGCTGAGGCTCAGGAGCCTGGTGCCCACGCCGCATTCTTGGGGCCCACCCCTCAGGACTCTGCCCCTTGGAGGCCTCCAAGCTGGGGCGGGATCCCCCGTGTGTCCTTCACTTCCTGCTTTCAGCCTCCTCATCCTCACTGCCTGCCATACCCCTCAAACTCCCCTCCGGGGTCCCCTTCCTTCCTAGTAGCCAGCTGGGATCCTGCCTCCCTCTAGGTTCTGAACTCCACTCCAGCTCCCCCATCCTGCCTGGGACCCTCTGGTGTGTTTGGCGTATTTCAGTCCTCCCCCGAGAACACGGCCCTCCCTGCCCCCTCTCCAGTGTGCTCCTTCCACTAGGGTCTGCAGAGAAGCAGCGAGGCCGAGGCCCTACACTGGGGGAGGAGGAGATGCTCACAGGACAGGGGTGCAGACACCTAAACACTGGACCCAGCAAAAGGAGTTGTTGTTCTGGCCAAGGGACATACAAGGTGCAGAGGGCCCCTGTCCCTTGTCTAGGGACGCAGAGGAGATGTTGGTTCGGGGAAGGGTCCTCTGAGGATGCATGGGAAGCGTGCCCTAATCGAAGACGAGGATAGGAGATGGGCGTCAAAACAGGAGGAAGGTCCAGAAAGCACTTGAGATTGAGGTGACTGGGCCACTGGGCACTGGAGTGGAACAAGGGTGGGTGCATCTGAACGTGGAGTGGCTCAGAGAGGGGACAGGGGTGGGGGGACGGGCGGGGCAGCCCAGGGAGGGGCATAACTTGGCCAGGCAGGCCCAGGGGGGCTTCCGGGCCCATCCCCTGGGGAAATGTCCCCTGTTGTAACAGCAAAATCGACATGTCCACCGTCGGGGGATCAGTTACATAAATCACCATCCAGCTCTATAGCAGAGTACGGTGCGGCCACAAAGAAGGAAGGAGCTCTGTTTGGACTGATAGGGAGCGACTTCCAAGCTGTGCTGTTTAACAGACAAAAGCAAGTGCCAAACGGTGTACCAGCCGCACAAGTAATTACGTAAACAGGGTGATTTGCCTGCGCACGGACAGGACACCTCGTGAAGGAATCACAAAAAGCTGGCAACAGTAGCTGCCTCTGAGGAGGAAAACCAAGGGGATCAGGTAGGAGGGAGACTTTTGGAATGTGTGAATGTCTAAGCCATTTTTTCATTTAAATTCAAATGAGAACATCTGACCATCTCACAAAAGCAAGCAAAATTTTTGGGCGCCTGGGTGGCTCAGTTGGTTAAGCGACTGCCTTCGGCTCAGGTCACGATCCCAGGGTCCTGGGATCGAGTCCCACATCGGGCTCCCGGCTCGGCGGGGAGCCTGCTTCTCCCTCTGACCCTCTCCTCTCTCATGCTGTTTCTCTCTCGCTCGCTCTCCAATAAATAAATAAATAAAATCTTTAAAAAAAAAAAAGCAAGCAAAATTTTTAAAAGTAAGAAACGGCCTACACCGCTGCCTTTGGACAAGTCCATAAAACATCGGTTGCCCAGAGACTACGGCCCCACACACCCTGTTACCTCTGCCCCCAGGCCATACTGCTTCGTGTAGATAAACATGGCCACATCATCGAAGAGTCGCAGGACGGTCCTACAGTGGCTGAGTTGGGAGGACAGGGTCAGCAGGCGTGTCCCCACTTCTGATCTGGCTGGACAGCGTTCCACCAGGACCCCGCCAACCAATTGGCAGCAGTACCCCAGCGTTCGGATCTGTGGGAAACCAGAAGCAGTCAGCAGGACCCTGCTCTTGGGCTGAGCTGGATCGGCCCCCACGTGGCCGTGGGTCCCCTGGGATCAAGTTGGGGGGCGAGGGGGTTTGTGCAGACTAGATCAACAGACTTCCGATAAAAGCTGAAAGTTTAAAAGAGATACTTGCGGGTGGGACAAATGGAGAAACGTGACCTTATTGTCCCAAAGTCACTGTGGACTCTAAGGGAATGCTGGCTCGTGTCACTGAGGGGCACACCCTTTGGAGACAGATGTGACCGAGACAAGAAAATGCAACCATTTCGCACCTCGTGGGTCCCCCTTTTCCCAGCAGACAGGAGGACGAGGCGGACATGTATATTTGCATCTACCCAGCTGGACCAATGTCTGTAGCTGGGTTGAGGAGTGGGGAGGTGATCGGGCCTCAGCCCAGTGAGTCAAGGGTAATCTGCTTGACTTACTTCAGTGAGAAGGAATCCACTCAATGGGTGATTTGGGGCATAGGGAACTGAGTCAGCTTCACCACCCTTACATCTTTATTTCATCTGCTTTCCAGAAATTGCTATTTCCTGTTGTTTTATATGTTATTTTCACTTATTTCTTTTCAGAATTGTAACAGCAAAACTTTGTAATAGCAAAACTCTGCGTTTTAAATGTACAGCTTGGGAATGTATTAAAACCTGAATGCCCAATCATAAGGGATTTGAATGGGACCTAATTGCCCACCACTGGTACATTTCCTGGTACAACCTAAATGCCTACCTATAAGAGAGAAAAGCTTATATAGGAACAAGCTGAGCATCTGCCTTCAAGGGCCTTCCAGCCATATGGGAGAGCCCTAAAAATCCTAAATCCCCATATGAGATTGTTAGGGACAAACCAGGGACCAACCAAGTGGCCTAGTCAGATCCTAAATGTTCAAACAGGGATTTGGCTGGCCTGTAAATGTCCAGCCAGGGTGAACTGGAACAACCTAAGTGCCCAATTATAGGGGAATCGGTCGCAACCTCAATGTCCAGCCATAGAAGGAGCGCTGCAACACCCTGAGTCCTCATATGTGACTGCCTGGGACAACCCAGTGACCACCTTCAGTGGTCTGGTCGGACCCCAAATGTCCAAACGTGCGGATTTGGCTGGTACTGAAAATACCCCACCATGATGAGTTAGCAGGAGCAACCTGTATGTCCACTGCTAGGGGACAGGGTCGGAGCCCAGCCGGGAGGGCGCCTCGGCGAGGGGGGGATCCTGAGCGACCCGCCCCGCTCTGGCCTCCGTTTCCAGTCACTGAGCTCCAGCCCTGCTCCGGGACCTCGGGCCGCGCTCCGCCCCAGCCTCACCAGGCGGTCCCGACCCCTGTACGACTCCAGCGCCGACGCCAGGGTGTTGAGCGCCGCCGCCAGGCCCCTCAGCGCGGCCATGGCAACTCCGCCGTGGCGCCGCCGTGACGTCGGCGCGCAGCGCCA